GCTTAAGTGACGTCTCTGAGCCTCACAGAGCCCAAAACACCTAACCCCAAGTTCCTCTGCTGTCTTCATCTCACTGAAAGACTCCTACCTGGCTGATTCCCATGATCACGGACAAGCCATGTTCCACCTAGTGTTCAATTTAATGGCTTCCAGTTCCTGCTAGCCTGGGAAGCTCTTCAACAAGCCAGTCATATACTGCTACAGGACTGGTGTGTGTGTGTGGACGGGGGACCTCATTTCCTTGTTGCTAGGATCCCAGTCACCCACAACTCTTGTTGGTTCGCTCTGCTCCTGAGGGCAAACCCATGGGGCTATGCATAGCACATAGTCCTTCCCTCCCAGACTGAGAGTGTATGTGACTAGTAAATTGCTGTTAATCTCATCTGTCCACTGTCATGTCATATGTTTCCCCATCTGGTACTATTTACAGCAGAGAATTGCTCCCTAACCAACAGGTGAATGGGAGGTGATCAGAACAAGGCCAGCAGGGATTTATGATTCATCCTGGTGTGGAGAGATGAGCTGGGAAAAACCAGCCCATTTCGTTGGAAAGAAGATGAACTGGGATATATGAGGGGATGAAGCAAATAAGAGAGGGAAGTTGGGCTGGAGGGCCTGGACTTAGAGAAAGGCTAGGAGCCATCATTTGGCACCTGTAGAAACTAAAAGTCAGCAGAAGCAGAGAAAAGAGGCACGATAGAGAAGAAAATGTGCAGAGCAGAAAGCGTTCAAGGCACAGAGGTGGTGGCACCACAGACCTCCACCCCAGCTCTGGCAGCTGAGGTCCCCCGTACTGCTTTGCTTTAGATCCTTTGTTTCTCCCAGCTTTCTGGTTCCTGTGCACATGGCTTCTATGACAAGACTTCCTTCTCCCCACTCCCACTCGTTATTTTTCCTTGAAACTGAGTTGGTGAGGATGTGTTTTCCTCTGTAGCCTGCACTTCATCCTGTGATCTGCATGCATAGTGTTGCCCTGGCTTCCTCCTTCCTGGGAGCTAGGACATCTGCTGCTATGCACTGTCCCATGACCATAGGTTCCCTCCTCCTACCCACAGGGCTCGCTGCTCCTCTTTTCCAACAAAAACTGAGGATTCGGTTGCATGCCCATCCCTGAAGCCCTGAGAAAGTTCAGGGAGATGGGTTATGTGTATCAAGTCACCAGCTCGTCCTTCAGTCTGGTGATGGAGATGGGTTCAACTTTGCCCGTATCAGATGGACTGAGGAAGAGGGAAGTGTGATTCTCAAAGTACACTCTGGCATGGTGCCTGTAGCAGGGAGCCCTGTGAGCCCTTTGCTGCCTGAGCACCTGTCTGCAGCCTTGCTTGGGCTTTTGCTTGTCATCAAACTGTTGAATCTAGCCATTCCCTGGAATAACTCCTCAACCTGTGATGTTTAGGGGTTGATAAGATAACTGAAGCATTTCCCAGGCGTTTGCAGCTACTGGTCTATAGGTGCTAAACCAGGGAATCACCAAGAGCTCGACCTTTGGGTGGGGGCAGGAGAAACAAACATGTGAGTGACCCCACCTGTGGACTGGTTCTGTAAAACGCTATTTATCTTTCTCTGGCCAGGGAGCAGAGAATCCTGTCAGCAAGGCTCTTGTAACCTCCTGGGTTTTCTTTTTTGGGGGCAGATGGTATTCTTGTGGGAAATATAAGAGCTAGGATTCTGGGGTAGGGTGGGAGGTGGCAGGAGGGGGTGGAGACAGGGAAGGCAAGGCAAGAATTTCTGCTGACTGTAGTTGGGAGAACTTTGCCCTCGCCTGGCCCACATTCTGCTGTTTTGCTGAGCAAGGGATCCCCAAAGTTCTGCTTTCAAGGCCCCTGGAAAAAAATAGTTCCTAAGTGGATCTAGTCTGACTCTTCCTGTGTGTGAAGAAATAGAAACCAAGATGGGCCCTTTCCTTTCAGTGCTGTCTCTGGGGAGGAAACTACAGTGGCTCCCATTCCCTGCAGAGAAAGAAGGGGCTTGGCAGATGTTGCTGGGGCCTCTGCCAGGGCTGAGACTGGTGCAGAAAGGGGTGCCTGCACAGCCCTGTGATGTCTTTCCTCCCATCAGATCAGCTCTCAAAAGATGGGAGATCAGGCATAAAAGATGGGGCTCTGCACCGTACGTGCCATACCTCTCCCCTACACACACACACACACACACACACACACACACACACACACACACACAGTCCCCATCATGAATTGGGTGAAGGTAGTCACTCTGTAGGTTAGGTGCCCATGGGCTAGCTGCTTCCTGAGTTGACAGTGACCTCCATGACACAGGCTCTTCCTAGACCTATGCTGCAATCTTGGTCCCTTTCAGTTTGGCTTCCCCACCACTGAACTTTTAATCAATGCCTAGAAGCCTATGGGAGGCTGACCCTAGGAATTGTGAAAAAGATATGGGAAAGAACCAAGGAGGGGCTTTTTGGAAGTGGTTGGATCTAGAGTGTGTGATGTTGGAATTGTTTCATGGTGCAGTGCTAGGCTCAAGGGCACTGGGATTAAGGGTATGAGTGCTACCTGCCCTATAGTAGTCTGGATAAGATAAAAGAAACAGGAGATGCTGTTAAGGTCCCTGTTGCTTTTGCTGTTTTCTTCCGCCATGAACTGTTGCTCCTCTGCCATGTGCTACTCAGTATTGGAGCCAGCCAATTATGGACTGAAACCTCTATGACCTGTAAGCTAAATAAATCTTTCCTCCTTTAACTCTGGGTGTTGTATATTTTGTCTTAGCAGTGAGAAAAGTAACTCAGACACTGGATGTGAGTGCTACCCATCATAAGGATGTGTAGCCTGGATATATGATAAAGGACAGAAAGAAGGCAGCAGTTTTTGCTTGCTGCTTCACTTGCTGCTTTGTTGCCTTCTGCCCACCAGAAACTGTATCTCCTCTGTGATGTCCCTCTGCCATGCCACCCTGCCTTGGAGCCAGTCAACTATGATCTGAAATCTCTACAAACTGACTTACAATAAACCTTTCCTCCTTTAACTTTGGGTGTCAGATATTTTGTCTCAGCAATGAAAAAGTAACTAAAATAGTGAGTATCCCCAGAATTGACTTTGGGAGAGAGGCTCTGACCAGCCAGTGAGAATGTTAGTTCCGTTATCCTTTTTGTAGACAGGAAGACATCAGGCTTGCAGAGCTCCTTGACACTGGTCTCTATGATGCTTTGCTTCCGTTATTTCTAGTTCTAGGTCCATCAAGTAGCAGGAGCCATCTGAAGCAGTATTTTTATTTTCCTCTTGGAAGGAGATTATAATTCGCATTGAAAAGCAGAACAAGGCCAAGGATTTAGCCAGTGGTGCTGAAGCCTGCCTCATAAGCACCAGGTCCTGAGTTTGATCCCTGGTACAAGAAAGAGAGAGAGAGAGAGAGAGAGAGAGAGAGAGAGAGAGAGAGAGAGAGAACATTGGGGTCAGTCTTATGTACCAGTTCCTTTTGAATTGGTGCTGAGAAGCTAATCTTGTCAGGGGGATAGTCCAATCTACAAAAGTTGAAGTCTTGGATTCAGGGAGGCCCTGCATGGTAGCCTCTGACAGGACTTCTGATACCAAGTGTTTGTTTTTTTTTTCTGAAACCAACCAACTCTCTGGCACTGGCTTGGCCTCCAGCAGTTTGAGTGGATTCTGACACTAACTCCCTGAGTTTCAGATCCCATGGGTTAAGGGCATGGTCCACAAGAGGAGGTCCCCAGGGGACCCACACTTCTGACTGGCTCACTAAAAACCTGGAGGTTTCCCTGACATCCCCTCAGTTTTGATGATTCATTAGGACAACTTACAGGATTGGGAAAACACTAAACTTAATATTAGAGTTTATTGTAAAGGATGCCATCAACCAGATGAAGAGAGACCTAAGGCAAGGGCCAAGAGCCCTGAGCACAGGACCTCTGTCCAGTCAGGGTGGGCAGGTTCAACAACCAGGAGGCTCCTGGAATCTTATCATTCAAGAGATTTTATAACCCTGTCTCCAGCCCCTTTCTCCAACCTGGACTCTGAGAATGGGGAATGCAGGTGGGTGGCTGAAAGTTCCACCCTTTAATCATGTTTGGTCTTTCTGGGGCCAGTTGGCATCTTGAAACTATTTAGGGCTCCCGAGTCAGCGCATTAACACAAACTTAAGTGTAGTGGAAAGGGGCTCATTATGAATAGTAAGAGACACATCTATCACCCAGGAAAGGGAGGGTTTTAGGAATTCTGGGTAGGACTGAAGACAAAGACCCGATTTTGGGGGAGGGGATTGAACCCAAGGCTTTCCTACTGAGCTATATTCCCAGCCCTTAAATTATTATTTTTTAAAAATTTGAAGCAGTGTTGAACTTTCAATCCTCCTGCCTCAGTCTCCCAGAGCTCTGGGATTATAGATGTGTACAACAGTGTCTAGTCCAAATATTTTTTTAAAGTCACCTCAGGGCTGAGGATGTAGCTCAGTGGTACAGTGCCTGCCTACCATGCATGAGGTCCTGAAATTGATCCCCAACACTGCAAAAAGAAACAAGCAACAACAGCAAACACAAAATAACTCTTACCTCAAGCACTTCCCAGTAATCCTGTTATAAGATACTGAGTGGGCAGTGAGTTCCCCTGCCTCTTGCATTGATCTGTAAGCTCCTCCTTCACTGACCCTGCTATCCTCTGTAACTTGACCATTTACCTAAGAGATACTGGGGCTAGGAGTAGGAGTCACCTGCACTCACAAAGATGTTTTCTCTGCAAAGCTGAGGACTTCCTCACCACCCCCAGCCCCACAGGGTGTCTAGTCTTAGCCCCCAGAGAGCAGGTGAATTTGTAACTCTGGAGCAGAGGCTAGCATTTGGGGTACTGGGGGCAGGGGTGCTAATGCAAAGGAAGAGGACAGGGCCCTGGACTGATGGGCTCCTGGGAGCCCAAGGGGAGGAGCCGTGCTGGGCTGGATTTCTGCAGAGTCAGTAAGGAGAGAAGTCATGACCTTGACAGGAGAATATAAATCCTGAGTGTCTCAGTTTCTCTTCCACTGTTGCTGGCTTGCAGAACAGCCTTTCCAGGCTGAGTGGGTAAAGGATTCAGAGATGGATGGTAACGCAGTCCACTTCTGCACAGACAACCAATGTGTCTCCTTGCACCCCCGAGGTGAGAAAAGTCAAGGCATAGCTTGCTTATCCCCCAGACCTCTGCACTCCTCTGTGGCAGGCTGGAGCTCAGCTCATCACTGTTGGGCCTCAACACACAGGTAAGGGTGGAAAGTGGATCAGGCAGAGGATAGGAACGCTGGGCACAGCCCAGTCTCTGTATGAAATCTTTCCAGACCCCTCCCACTGGTGACAGCAACCTGGCAGAAGAAAGGGGGTGTGCTTTCAATTCAGATGGACCTGGTTTTGAACTCTAGTTCTGCACATGGGCTGGCCCTGTGAGGTCTCTGGGAATCTGGACTGGCCTCTGTCCAACCTTAGTGGGTTTTCCTGGGCACCCTTTTGTCCCTCACCACAGTTCATAGAAAGCTCAGACACAGCCTTTTCAGAACATCTTCAGTGGCATTCTGATCCCAGCTGGAGAGGCTCAAGGATTCCCCCATGTGTAGTGTGACGAGGCAGGAGAGTGGCCCCAAAGGGCTGTGATTTTGCTCTGGGACTCAGGTCTGGGCTCCTGCTCTGTCCCTCCCTCTTATCTCACTATTTCCCTCTCTTTCTTCTTTCACTCAAACCATGCTTTTGTTGTCCTACCCTCTATGCCATGTTCAGTCCCTGCCCCCCTCCCCCCGCCCCCCGGCCTCCTTGGGATTCTGAGAGCCTAGTCTAGGCCGCATTCCTGCCTTTGCATTGCTACCAGTGCTCCACAGTGACCTCTGTGAATGCTTCACAGTGTTTTCTCTTCCTTCTTCACAGCCCAGAGGGTGTTAAGTGTGGCAGATATTCTCGTCCTCCCTGGACAGACCAGGAACCAAGTCAGAGAGCCTGGCTCTGTCCCCACCTGCACAGCCCCCTCTCATCCGGGACCCTGGCTTCTCCCCTGCAGGGATGGACCCCGTGACAGTGGCTCCTACTGCCCCCAAGATGCTCAAGCTTATTCAGGGTGCCATGATATTCATAGCTGTGACCCTGGTCTCCTCTCTTGTGGCTCTCTTTGTTGGGGGTAAGTTCCCAGGTGATGAGAATTCCACTAACTTTCCTTCCTGCACAGAGGCCCCAAGGGACCCAGATATACATTCTCTGGTCCCATCTGCTCCCAGAAGGGCCATCCCACTGCCATCACAGCCTAGACCACAGCTTTCCCAGGTGCAGGCCACTGTGCAGGGTGGAGCCACCTAAGAACTAAGGCTCATGGGGGAATCTCTCAGGGTGTCCTTGGTGCCATTGCTCTCTTTCTGGAATCCTAACCCTTATGGGGCAGCCTGTTCTCTTGGGCCCAGGGCTGGGGATGGTACTGACCCAGGAATGGGGTGTCTCAGCTCTACAGCCCCGAAACCCTACATCGGAGGAACATCCTTCCTTCCAAGACTTTCAAGTCATGTTTCCAGGAGACAACACTACTGAACAGTTACCTGTGGAACTGAATAGTGAGTAACCATAGTGGGGCAGAGGCAGGGAGGGAGATGGGGCATTCAGGAGCCCAAACCCTGGGACCAGCATCTTTTCCAACACCCTTAGGTCCCTGAATATGTTCCATCCTCCTTAGAAAAAACACTTTTTGTGTGTGTGTGTTTTTTTTTTTTTTTAAAAACCAGCTTTATGGAGGTATAATAGGCACACAGTATAGTGCACATAGTTAAAGCACAGTCTGGTAAGTTTTGATGTATGTCTGTACTTGTGAAACCATCACCACAATCAAGATAATAGATTTATCATCCAGCAGGAGTTTACTTGTGGCCCTGTGTGATCCCTCCGTCTCCCCTCCTTCAATCCCAGGCAAACACTGATCTGCTTGCCATAACTACAGATTAGCTTTCTTTTTCTTTCTGCCTCCTTAATCTTTCCTTGTAGCTTCTGTTTTCTTCTGTAGATTTTACAGTTTTTCATTTTTATTCAGAAATTTTTATATAATTGTATGAGGATTGAAGCCCTCCCCCCATGGATATCTAATTGTTTCAGTAGTATTTGTTTAAAAGATTATCCTTTCTTTATGAATTCCCTTTGTATCTTTGCTGAAAAATCATATGCCCACATTTCTGTGGGTATCCGTCTTTGTAAGGTAGGATTTTTGACTAGCTTCCCCCACATCCCAAGGCCTGGTCTTACATTAGCACAGTGGCTGAAGCCTCACACACTCACCTAGGTGGAGCCTGAGGAATAATGCGTTGGTAATCCAGAAAGGGTCCTTGACCGCTTGGTTTCTTCTCTCTGTTCCTATGGAGATGCTAGACTCAGGAGTGACCGTAAATGTTTGAAATTAGGCCCCAATTCATGAAGTGAGCCCAGGATTCTAGCAGGACCAGAGACAGAGGCAGGTGGGGCTGCTGGGAAAGACTCTACAGGATAAAGGGGGCCAGAGTATCCCTGAGTGGCTCCAATGACCAAAGCCTTTCCGTCAAGTCTCCCATATCTTCAAATTGTTTTATAGGGCTCCTTGCCCTATATAACATCAGAATGCCAGCCCTTTGAAAGACACTGTATCCAGTGTCCCCTAGAGGGTATGGCCTGCCTGTACCCTGGGTGTGGGGATTGAACAGTGTACTTCCTCCTGGGATACCTGCTCCCCACCCCTTTGTGGAATTTGTGACCAGAAAATTTGTTTGCAGTTTACAGTGTTTAGGATGAAACAAAGGTGAATCAAGTGGTGTACAAATATACTATAAAAGTAAACTGACCTTTACTCATATCTATTTTTTTCACAATGACCAATCTATGTGAAATTTCTATGGTAGAATTAAACTTCAGCAGCTCTAGGTGATAAAATTGGTTACTTTCAAGGTGAACAATTACAATAGCCAAATAATCCAAACCTTCCCACATGACTCTTATTGGCTAGTTTACACTATGCAGGTGGTTCAATCCATCTGACCCCTCTGTTCATGTATGACAGCTAGATAGGTCAATTATTTTGTTTTTTGGTGGCCTACATTCTCAGGAGGCTCATCCCTAGGGTCTTGGTGACAGCAGTGACTAACAGGTTGCCTGAGGAGCATGTAGGGCTGTGGTGCGGACATTTTCCTCAGAATTTTTAAGAGCATCCCACTTGGCTTATATGATTTTTCCTACATATTGGGCATTCTCTGCTTCCTCCCTCCAGGTCACTACTACTTTGGCAGGGTGCAAGACACTATCCAGATATTTAAGAGCCACATGGAAAATTCCAGCACCTGGCATGTGGAGATCCAGATGTTGAAGTGCAGAGTGGACAATGTCAGTTCTCAGGTCCAGGTGCTTGGGGCTCATCTGGGCGACACCAGGGCTGACATCCAGATGGTCAAAGGTGCTCTACAGGAGGCCAGTGCCTTGAGTCTGCAGACCCAGATGCTAGGAAATTCCTTGGAGGGGGCCAATGCTGAGATCCAGAAGCTGAAGGGAGATCTGGAAAAGGCAACTGCTTTAACCTTCCAGACCCAGGATTTCTTAAAAAGCAGCTCAGAAAACACCAGTGTTGAGCTCTACATGCTAAGCAGAGGCTTAGAAAGTGTGAACACTGAGATTCGAATGTTGAAGGCAGGTTTGGAAATGGCCAACACCCAGGCCAGCTTGGCAAATAGTAGTTTAAAGAATGCAAATGCTGAGATAAACACTCTGAGAGGTCACCTGGATAGTGTCAATGACTTGAGGACCCAGAATCAGATTTTAAGAAGTAGCCTGGAAGGAGCCCAGGCTGACATGCAAAGGCTAAGGGGAAGCCTGCAAAATGCAAATACTCTAAACTCCCAGACCCAGACCCTTCTCAAAGGCAGTTTAGACAACACTAGAGCTGAGATCCTCATACTGAGAGGTCATTTGGAAATGGCTGGTAATGAGATGCACCTGTTAAAAGGAGATTTGGAAACTGTCACTACCCAGACCCAACTAGCAAATGGCCATCTGGAGCAGACAGATGCTCAGATCCAAGTGTTAAAAGCAGAGCTGGAAAATGCCAATACCTTAAACTCCCAGATCCAGATATTAAATGGTCAGTTGAAAACTGCCAGCACAGAGATACAGACCTTAAAACAAGGAATGAAAGATACTGCAGCCTTAAATTCTCAGATGCAGATGTTAGGGAGTAATCTTCAGAAGGTCAGTGCCGAGATGCAGAAGTTAAAAGGGGATTTAGAGAACACCAAAACTCTAACAGCGAAAATCCAGGAGGAGCAGAGTAGCCTGGGGACCCTCCGTGCAATCATTGCTTCACTGGAGCAGCTACAAACAACCCAAAGTAAGTGGGAGAGATGGATCTGGCTGGGACGCACAGTCTCTTGGGAGGGTGGAGACTTTTGTCCCTTTCTCTTGTCCCTTCAACCTCTTTTCTTACCTCAGGACAAATCTCCCAGGGGAGGAGTGTGGGTGCTGGAGACAGGACTAAATCCAGTGAACTAGGGAGTGGTGGAGGTGGCATGAGGTGACATTTTCCCTGCTCTCAAACTGCCTATAATCTAGTTAGAGGAACAAAATGAACACCTGGGAAATTAATTATATATGGAGAAGATGTGAAACAAGGACAGCTTATGCTAGTGGGGCTGGAAAGCCCCTGCTTTTGTACTCCCTGCTATCAGAAATGATGTAGCCTTATCTACAGACACACCACCCAGAACATACCCAAGCTCAGATGCTCTCAGAGGCTAAGCAGGGTTGAGTCTGATTAGTACTTGGATGGGAGAATTGATGTGGTCTTGAACAACTTCGTCACCTCCTCTGAGCTGTATTTTTTTAAAAAGTGGAAACAAACAGTATTTGCTTCCCAGTAAAGATCAAATGAGTTAACAGATGTAAGACAATTTAACAAAGTACCCAGAATTCAGGCACTCACCTGACATTTTACTGAGGCCCTATTAATGTCAGGGGTATAAAGATGAACAGGACATGCTACCTACTTTGACAAGTTTTTGGGCAGAAGGGCAGACTTGTAGGAAAGACATGCAAAGAAGAGTAAGTGAGAAATGAGAAGCAGGTACTGGGAACTGAGATGAAGGAGGAAAAGAAATAAGGGAAGGAATCTTCTGAGGGAGTTATCAGTGGGGGAGATCTTTTGTGAGGAAGGATCAGAAGATACTAGCTGAGAAGTTGGCCCTTGAATTGTCCTTAAGTACTAAAAGCTATTTGCCAAACAAATAGGAAAGGACAGTAATAAGTTTGCAGACATGGAAACATGAAACTGAGGTTCAGGAGGCTTCAGGCAGCATGACTAACCTGTGGGGAAGTCATGAGATGCAGGCTGAAAGGACAGTAGGCATGATCAGTGGCTTTCCACATTGTTTGAATATAACCATAGCATAAAGTTCATTTTATATTGTGACCCAGTATAAATATGTACAACTACGCATAAGTGCATGCATGCACAAACACACATTTCAAAAAGCAAAACTTTTACTGCATCAATGCATCATGATATTATATAATCTATCCTTTATTTTTTATTTTTTTTATTGGGAATTGTACCTTTATATAATGCATCTTGGTTCTTATTTTTTCCCCATTCCTAGCCCTCCCTTCACGCCCTCCACCCTTCCCTAT